TGAATTATAAGCAATCTTGTAAAATCTTGATTTTTTACAATTTCAATAAACATCTCCTAAATGTCTTTGCTTCTAAAATTGCATGCACTGGAGAAATATTTCTTAACCTAAATTAAAAACTCAGTTCAATACTTACATTAGTAGGAACTGATTCATTTGGAAGCTTTTGGAATATGTGTCAAAGGAAAAATATGTGGTTCATAGGTCTTAACTGGTTATATTTTATTTTGGCATTGGGTAACATTTTCATAAAATAGGTGTTGGGTGACATTATTCTTGTAGAGACATGAAAAAATCTCTACTCACCCAGATGAAGGAACTTAAGACAGACAAAAGGAACAATGCCACCAAAGTCCAAGTTGGTGGACGAACAAGTTTATTGGGATCACTTACAGCAGTATGGGTGACTCAGAGGCAGCTGTATCACTGAAAGCCCACCCCAGCATGGGTGACTGCTACTCACAGATGTTGAAACCTTGGGACTCTGCACACAACAAGAGTAAGTCTTTTTATAAGTTAAGTAGAAGTGCTTGATTTTATAGATAGGAAAGAGCTCCACCTCCAAGGGGGGAAAACAAACCCAAAACTAAAACAAAGGAAAAGACTGATTATTCATTTCAAAGTCACTTTTCTTGCAAGTAGGGCCAAGACACACTTGATCACATCCGGTTTCTGTGGGTCACTTCTGTGAAAGGATTAAGGCAGAGAGAACGCCCTTATGACAATTGACAGTGACCTGTTTGGAATTATGGTTGTGTCCTGAACCCAGTTTCTCAGGTTTTCAGCAGCTTGTCTTTGCCTGGGTGACTTGGAACTTGAGCATAAAGGATCCCATTTTTATTTCTGGCCTGGCTCATTGGGACCTTAGTGAAGAAGTTGTGTGTAAATCAATGGCTGTCTGTAACTTTATTTAACAGTTGTGTTGATTTTGATTCCCAAACATACCATGCAGTTTCTCTTTTGATCTTGGTTACAAGTAGGATGTGAGAAAAAAAAGAAATATGGTCAAATTGAAAATAACAAAAACTTTTAAGAACTTCAATTTTATTTCTTCTGTATGTATGGTACTACACTGCTCTGTGTGTGTGTGTGTGTGTGTGTGTGTGTGTGTGTGTGTGTGTGTGTCTGCATGTGCTTGTTTGAGTTTGTATGCATGGAACCCAGGTCCTTATGCATACTATCTTCAGAAGGAAATATGGTTTAAAATCATAAAATAATGAAAATAATTGTGTTATCTACTCTAAAGGGTACCAAAAGTCAAAATTATTTTTCTTATAATTTCTGACTATTTAAGTATATCATGGGTACACAAATATATTGTATAATTTGAGTCATGATAGAATCTTCTAGTTTCTTGAAACCATAGTCTTTATTTTAGCATAAGATTCTTCAAAAAGAGGAAACAAGAGGACAATAGTAGTTATTAAACAATGATAAATATAGAATGGATAAAGAGAAAGAGAATGAACGGCCATATTTATTCAGACATGAAAAAGAATTTCAATTTTAGATGTAAAGAAAAAACTATTAATAAAACATTTTATACAGAGCCAGCAACTCCACAAAACATGAAATTACTTTCCTTATAATTAATGTCATGTTATCAAGAAACAGAAATAGAAGCGCTGAAGTGTATCATTAAGATTATTGTTAAGACTACTTCCCCTGGGTATGTAAAAATCACAAGGGGCAAGATGCATGCATTTGAGCTTATACAATGTAATGTGGACATCAATTTGCTTTATGAATCTGTGGTTGACCCTCAGAGAAATAAAAGCCCCCAGAAGCTCAGCCCCAACTTCTCCAGATCCTCCTCCAGACACCAGCCAGTAACTTTGCATCTGCTTAACCAAGTATAAAGACAGGATACACAGACCCAATGGGGAACTCTCCTGACAGGTAAGAAGCAGTGAGCAGCCTTGTTAGTCTCACTTTGTAAAAGGCTTGATATTATAGGAGGATTAGAGAAAGAAAGAGGGAAATTGGTTATAAACATGGGTCCCCTTTACTGAACTTCTTAGGGAATATCTCATAAGCAATGCTTCCAAATGTAATTCTGAAAAAATACTATTCTTTCTGAGAGACTTTGGGTTAGTTCGGGTTGGATGTCAGCTTCCACATTGATATAGAGGAGAAAATCAGAGAGGATTCCCCATCTGGCTACTCAGAAGGCTGTGTGAGATGATCGAAGCTGCAGATTTGGAAGTGTAGGTACCTTTACTCACCAATCTGCAACGCTGCTGCTCACTTGAGACTCTCGGAGTGGCTATTTGAGAGATGACTCAGCAGTTAAGAGCAGCAGCTGCTCTTGCTGAGGACATGGGCTCGGTTCCCAGTTACTCACATTGCAGCTAACAACCATCTGTAACTCCAGTTCTAGGGGATCTGAGGCAACTCTTCTGGTCTCCATGGGCATTGCATGACCTGAGTGCACTTACATACATGCAGGCAAAACACTCATACACATAAAATAAAATAAATAAATAAATAAATAAATAAATAAATAAATATAAAGTATTGGTGCATAATAATGGCCCCAGAAATGTGCCTCTCCAGGTTTCAGGACAAGAAGAGAGTGTTTGCACTTGATTAAACTTCAGCTAGTGAAAAGCTAAACATGACATTAAATAAAACAAACACATGGTTGAAAAGCAGGTTGCACCTAGCTCAGATGAAGTGACTCCCATCTTGTCCTTTATTGCAACAGATCATGAATGATCTTCTAAGATGAAGATCTTTTCACATCTTAAGCTTTCTGGAAGCTTTTAAAAATACTTTGCCCCTAAAAATATTTTTAGTCCAGGATGTTTCTGCATTAATTCAAAGAAGGCTGTTAGAAAAAAGACAGAACAAAGAGAAGCAACTTGAAAGAATTTCAGGTAACTTAACATTTTATTTTCTTATAAAATGCTGATGATATTTAAATATCTTAGAGGAGCAATGTTCTCAGAAGTACAATTTGAACTCAAAGAAAGAGGTCAATTAGGTGAATTTTCTTTTGAAAAATAAGCTAAAAATCAGTTCATTAGGCTGTACTTTGATGTTAAGATTACTTGATTATTTAGTACCTTTAGGTTGTATTCCCAATAAACATTTCTGTTAATGTGATCAGACTTCAATGCTAGCATCACTCACAGGTACCTGATATGCGCTTATGCATCTTAAGTAAGTAAACCAAAGTTGTCCTTTGACAAGGCTCAACAGGCAAGGATAGTATTTGGTGAAGTGCTCTGGTGAATTTAGTTAGGAGTAGTTTAAGTTGGGATAATTTTTAAAATATTTTATTATTGATTTTTATTTTATGTATATGTATGTATTGCCTACATGTATCTAAGTGCACCTGTGTCATGAAATGTACACAGAGGACAGAAGAGGGTGTTGGAGCCCCTGGAACTGGAGCTACAGACAGCTGTCAGCCGCCATGTGGGTGGTAGGAACTGAACCTGGGTCTTCTGCAAGAACAGCCAGTGTTCTTAACTACTGAGCCATCTCTCCAGCTCCTAAGTTGGGATAATTTTTCTGTGAAAGTAAACAAATTGTTCAAGCCAGTGAGAGATTATTTACAAAGGAAAAAATATTTGGAACTAACTGAGAATGAATTATATGATCAAGATGTCACAGTGAGAGTTTTATTTCAGAAGCAACAGTAAAAATTCACACTGTAATGTAGAGGAACAGCTATAATAAAGTTTATAAGACTTTGTTTTATAAGCATATTTCAAAGAGATGCTCTTTTGATGGAAAAGGCACATGCTTTCATATGTGACATAAGTTAATCACAGTTATTTAATATTTTTAGAGGTGTTGCAGGGGATGTTTCCCTCACCCCTTCACGTCAGACCTTATTCACAATCAATTTGTACCTCCAGCACCCACTGCTTGTGTGCCACTTGTACAACAAATGCAGAAATTCATACAGTAAATAGAAGGGGTTCTTTTTTTTTCTTGACTATAGGAAAGGTGCAGGTTCCTCCTTGTATAGTTATGTTAGCATGTGAACCCCTCAATTAAACATTCATTTGTGATGGCCTCACTTCAAGTGAACTTACCCTGGGCTCTGTTAGATTTATTATTCCATTGTCTTCTGCTCTTGTGAAGTGGAACTCTCTGGAGTTTGCCTTTGGATAAACGATGCAGGACTGGCATCAAGCATTTTCTCTAACATCAAATACAGTTTTATAAATTTTATGACAACAGATCATTTTTTTCCAGTGTTGGTGACCTCTTGGTCTAATTTTATTTAAGGGTCTCCTAGAAGTCAAATCACAGAACGTATTAAAACTTCTCTAAGCTGTTAAGTCTCAAAATTAGGTTTTGACTTCAGTCTATTTCTAGGTCTAAGACTTTAGGAGTTAAGTGAGATGGTGATTATGCAGTGGGCATCTTAACTGTGCATGCTTTTTCATAAGACAATGCACATTTATAGTGTCTTTTATCTCATTGTGTATGAGATACTTAGCCCAAACATACTTAGACTGTGGTATTCTGCTATGCAGTACTTTAGTCTTAATATTGATTATAAATCCCACTGTAGTGACAGTAAAATATGTTTGACACAGTTGACATATTTTATTAAAGGTGAATTTTAGCTTGATGTTAGAAACAACCAACTTTAAAGATACAATTGGCCTTAATGTCTTTTTAGGTTCATTTTCAAGATGCATTTAACCACATAAAGTCCTTTTTGGGAATTTTGCAAAATAGCTGATACTGAAATAAATCACTTTGAGCTTGCAGGCCAAGGAAAATGCTTCATTATTTTGGTTTTTCTATTTATGACATCAAAAGGGGAATACAGTATTTGGTTGGTAATATACATGTGAGCTTAGCTATCATTTGGTAAAATGAATCAAGTGGGGAAATTTCCATTATTTTATGACGGAACATCAAGTATGCCCTTATCCCTAACAGCATCAGGGTGAGTGAATGGAGTTCTCACCTTATTTCCCAATTCCTTCAGAGTCCATAGAAATGGCTCAAGCATGATGTTTATTTTACAGGAGCCCATGAGAAAGAAATAGCTCTAATGAATGCTTTAACTGTTAATTTACATCTCCTATTGGTAAGTTTCCTTTCCGATTTGTGTTTAGAAATAATTTGCTTTATATAATCTGAGACTTTTCTCTCTCTAATTCACACGCCTCTGGTGGGTTCCTTCCTCCAAGACAGTTTGTGTGGTTATTATGTTTCCTTCAGGAGATTTTGGACTGTGACCTAACAGTTTATTCACGATCATGGAAGAGTTGCCTTTTGGAAAGTGTTTTGGAGTAATGAGTTCTTAGAGCAGAAGAAAAATAAACCAGTGCATGAAAGGGAAAACTGCTTAGTGACAACACTCAATGGCAAGCGTTGAGGCTCTCAGAAAAGCCATTTCCCTTATGGCAGGCTTCAACAGAAGGGGATTATGGATCAGCCTATTCTTGTGGATTAATTTGAGGAGAAGAGGTTAAAAAGTCTTAGAAAAGAAAACTAGAGGGGAATATAAAAGGTTAGATGATCCTTTTAATTATTTTAGAGTAGTTCTTAAATATTCAATTAACAGTTTATCTTAAATGTCAAATATATTCTCAAGATAGTTTATGGTGTCTATAGTAACTTAATGCATAAATTTTTACTTAATTTTTAAGTATGTTTTTAAAGCATGTCTAAAAGTTCATACATTCCCAGTTTTGATTCCCAGCTTAGATGCTGAATATCTTATATGAAGATCTTAATAATTTATTTTAATAATGTTTTAATCTTAAAAATATCTTAATATTAATAATATATCTTAATATTTTATAATCTATTTGATATTAGACAAACTTTCCAGTGTCTCCACAACTTACTATTTCCCTGTGTAATAATGAGGACAGCAGTGCCTTCCTCATATGTTTGCAGAAGTGTGTGTGGTAACATATTAAAATTAGTTTTGCACTTGGCCAGCAGTGAACACCCAGTTAAGAGATGCTGCCCTCTGTATTGGAATTATTGTCAATCTTATTCTCCAAGAACTGCATGGAGAAATGAAAGGTCTCAGTGAACATGTAAGCTCTCTTTCACTGGACGAAAGTTTCACAATAGGGCTGAAGTACATTTAGCTGGACCAAAAGCAAGAGGCTATGAAACAAACAACCGGAGTGTGGAAAGGTGATAAAGAAAACCAAATCGGCAGTGTAAGATTTGTATATATAAATAAGACATACACAGAACAAGCCATTTCAGTCTCACACTAGAGAAATTACCTTTAAAAGCTTAGGAAGATAATTTTTAATTAACATTTAAGAAAAGCTTTATAATTTATTTTTATCTGATTCACGTTTTCCTTTGAGTTTGTTTTCCATTGATAAACTTAATGAGCCAATATTGTCTCCTTTATAACTCACTGGAAACTAGGCTAATTGAAGAGGTACCCTTGTCAGACATCTTAGATGCTTAATTAATTAATGCCTTTAAAATGTTGGAGCTTATAAAATGAAAGTATGGCATAAATTAGCAAATGTGTAAATTGTACATTAATGGTCTCTCAATAAATCCATTTCATTGCAGTTATCATTTTTTAAACCTACACCAAAGCGGTTTAAAATTCTTCTAGAAGCCAAAGCCTTCCCTTCTGATCATGTAAGGATTTTTCAAATTATATTTATGTTCTTTCTTCTCTTCCTAGAGGGACATACCATTTTCTTGACTTGAATGTTTATTCACTAGTCTTTTCTAAGTAATCTCACAAAAAAGATCTGTCAAGCGCTTTTGATTTAAACATTTTTTATAGATTGTAGATTTATTTATTTTGTTCAAGTAAAACATGTGTTCAGGGAGGGAAGGATTGAGTAGGAACATTGATTTATTAGTCTTCTTCAAGACACTGAGCAAACTGCTGGTCTAAATCAACTGTGGTTATAAATGTTTTATTAATTCCTGTTGCTGTTTCATTTTATGAAATCAAATCAATGCAAACTCCACTGCTTAACCTCTTAGCAACAAAAACTGTAATGTGAACTTTTATTTGTTCCTCTCTCTTTATAGTAAGTTAGAAAAATTATTGGTTCCTTTTTAATGAAAAAAATTATTAAAAATTTAAAATGTGGAGGAAGGGGAGATGTCTCAGTTGGTAAAGTGTTTGCTACACAAGCATGAGGACCTAAATTGGAGATTCAGCACTTACCTAAAAAGTTCATTGTTACTACGGGGGGGCTGGAAACCCAGTGTTGGAGAAAAAAGACAGGCTTATTCCCGAGTCTTACTGTCCAGTCAGTCTAGTCAATCAGTGAGCTCCAAATTCAATGAGAGACTCTGTCTCAAAAGAAGAAATGGAGATTGATAAAGACACCAGATATTGACCTTTAGCCTCTACGCTCACTGCTCACTTGTTCACATGAACACACAAACGCATGTGAACCTACACAGGAACACATACACATACACACATGCATCCTTACACACACACACACACACACACGCAAAATTGAGAGTCATTCTTCTGGCCAGGCATGGTGGCACGTGCCTTTAATCCCAGCACTGGGAGCGGTGGTGGGAAAGATAGGTACATCTTTTTGTGATTGAGGCCAGCCTGGTCTACATAGTGAGTTTCAGGTCAGCTTGGACTACAGGGAGACCCTGTCTCTAAAATAATAATAATAATAATAATAATAATAATAATAATATAATAATAAATTCTTGTGGTTAACCTAAAAAGTCATGTTACTTCCAGATCCACACACAGATGGGAATACATTACCATTTAGGTCTAGTTTCTCTAAAACTTTATATTATTCTAGTCTACATCTTGTAAATTTAGCACTTGTAATGCTATCAAAACTAATACCATTATTTTACCAAAAATAATCCAAAACCTTAATGTCTTGAAAAAAATTGAAGTCCTCTTAATGGTTACTGTGAATGACTTTATTCTCCAATGAAGTAAGATTTTTTAATGTCCTTTCTTCTTGCTATTTTACTTTCTGTGGCAAGTTGTTTTTATATCCTGCATTCAAGTCTAGCAAATCTATGCTACTTATGTTGATTACTTTCTAAATACCAGATTTGACATAGATAAGGTGAATTTTAATATGCGAATCTCTTGTAACTCCTAAGTTTCCTCTACATTTCTATTCATCTTTAATATGCGTCATTTCAACGAGTGTTCAATTGCTGCACATATTATATGAAGTTTTTCTTCGACGTATTCCATTATTCACTTTTAACCTTGAGCATAATATAATACTACGTTTTTATCATTATTTGACTATTTGTTTTCAGAACTGTCATATACTTCTATACATGGAGCTTGGTTTAATAACACATTTTTCTTTTCCAGTATGCTATTGAGTCACAGCTTCAATTACATGGACTTAATGTTGAGAAAAGTATGCGGATGATAAAGCCAAGAGAGGTATTCGAGGCAGAAAGAAATATTTAATATATTTCTATTCAGTATTGATTGATTTCCCTCCACTTTCCTTAAAAGTTTATTATTTTCGTTGCTTTGATGGAACTTTCAAGAAACATAAGTGATGCATGCATTTGTTACTATTAGGTCATTTTGTTTAAAATGAAAAAGATTAATGTGAAGTATATTTATTTTCATTTTTCAAGAGCTAGATGGAAAGCAACTATTTTTTAAAAGTTTTATCACTAGAGCCAGCCATTGTGTTCAGGGAGGTGAGAAGAGGGTGGTAAGTTGAGTCTATCACTTTAAATGTCAAATGTAATTGCCCCTGGAAAGCATTAAAGTCAAACTGAAGACTAGTGATAATTGTGAAACTGTATGATGACTATCTTTCATGTCCTATTGCAAATCATCAAATATTTTTAAGTGTTTAAGATAAAGCAATTTTTTCTAAAATCACATACCCAGTAAATTATAGAGTGTATGCTAGCCAATATGCAATATTAATAGAATAAAAAATTCTCCATTTGTGAGATACTGTTTTCACATTTCCTATAGGAATTGTTAATTTCTAGCATAAATGAATACAGCAAATAAATCTGAAGTTTGTTGTTACAAATGACCAGCATTTTGTCTCATGAGATCACCATGATCTTCTGATCAGTCTTCACCAGCACTACATAGTGTCAAGTCAATGTGGATGAGTGCTTGTTTTGTTATTGAAAAGTGTATTTCTTTTTCTTGTTGATTCTTTAAATAAAGGAATTGTGTGATAGCTTTTTCAATACATTCCTTAGCTTGTCTTATTGTAGTTGGCAAACTGTATTAATTTTTTAAGAGTTTTAAGTTGCCAGTTCTCTAATTAGAATTATTCCTGTGATTACTGAAATCCTTTTCTTTATATTTATAAAAACAAATTTCAGTTAAATCAGAGGTTCAGTATCAGTGCTGTTCCCTTTTGGTAAACAAGTTCTAGGGTTCTTCTAATAGAAACTGCACACACACACACACACACACACACACACACACACACACACGATGGCAAAAAGCAAGAGATTTAGAAACTTAAAAGTAAATAAAAAGTTAATGTAGTATTATCTTAATGAGCTTTATCCATGATGTTAATGCAATTAAGGATGCATTGGTCTCAAATTCATATCAGTCAGATTTACTACAGGAGAAAATTTGTGGAAAGTTAAATTATCAGACTTGTTAAGCTAAAAGCAGATGTCTTGTGCTTAACTGATTTCTTTCTGCACAAGTAATTTTTGTGAGACCGAGTATAACTTAATTCATTATTTTCAATCATTAGTTTTGGTCGAGAAGTAAGAGAGATACTACGTCCTTGGTAGCAGTGAGTCATTTTGATCTGTTTTTCTTCATGTTTGCATCATTATCATTAGATTAGTACGGAAGAGATTTGACTGTTAAGCTAATTGAATTATTGCTTAGGAAATACTCATTTGAAAGACATGTAAGTGATTTTTCATCTCGAAGAAGTAACATTAAATTTATAAATGCAATATGAATTTTCATATTGAATATTTTGCCTTAAGGTATTTCATGCCCTCCCCCCTTTTGGTGATTTTCCTGGATGAGGATAATGAGAAAACAGTTAACAGGTCAAGATTAATTGAAGAACTGGAGGATACAAAAGCAAGTAGGACTGTGTGACTTACACTTAAAGGAAATCCTTTTTACTATTTTATTTTCATTGCTTAATGACAAAATATATCCCAGCGCTCTTCTATGGTCATATATTTGAAGGACTTTAGCATAGAGAAAAGAAATTATCTTTCTGTTTTCTTAGACAAGAAAGACATTTGGGAATATGAAGTAACAGTTTTCACTGTGATGCTACATATCTTGCACCTAACTTGACCTAGGGAGAAGAAACCCTAAGGATGGAGGATATACTTGACGTTATTGAGAAGGAAGGAGACTCTATTGCAGTGATTATGTTCAGCGGGCTACATTTTTACACTGGGCAGCTCTTTAACATACCTGCCATTACAAAAGCCGGACAAGCAAAGGTAGGCCTCCATTTCCTCTTTGCCATCACCCCCCACCCCCAGAAAACACTCTGCTGAAGAGTGGTCTGCCTCCAATATTTTATGTGTGTTTAAACTTATTTTAAACAAGCAAGTCATATAGTTTCAAACCTCATCACTGTTGTTGTTGTTGCTTCAGGCATCCTTACGCAAGCCATGTGTTACCACCTCAGTGGTCTCAGTGGGCCCCTAGTAATTAGGGCTAACAAGTTTCCTATGTGCCATGTCACTGAAACTCAACTGCTCTGACTGCAGAAGGGGCACAAACTACTGCAGGTCATCGGGATGTGCAAGGACAGCTAAAACTCCATGTATTAGCTACTTTTGAGTTACTATCATGAAACACCATGACCAAGGTAACTTATAGAAGGAAAAGTAAATTGGACTTATGGTCCATCATGATGGAGAGGCATGGAACAGAAGCTGCATGAGCACGAGCTCACATCTTCAAGCATGCACAGGAAGCAGAGAGAAGAACTTGGAAGTGGGCAAGACTATATAATCTCAAAGCCCTCTCCCAGTGACATGCTTTCTCCAGCAAGGCAGTGCGTCCTGAACAGTGCTACACTGGAACCAAGTATTCAAATGCTTGGAGCTTATGGGGGCATTCCTCATTCAAACCACCACATTTCTAGTACTTTGTCATACTCATTCTAAACATAAATCAACTCTAACTTAACTCTAGGTACCTAAAGATGGAGAAATACAAATTTTCTTAGTAGCTCATGTAGAATAATCAGTAGACTAAGTTTTACCTGAGAGACTCTAAGGATAGAATTTTATTTTTAACAATCTGCAGCCTTTATAATGCTGCCTATCATAAGAGTTGGATTTGGGATTTTTCCCCTATTAATTTATACTTAAATTATTTGGCATTTGGAAATCATGTCTCTTTGTATATAAGTACTTTAAAAAATGATTTTAGTAATTTGGACTGCAAGAAAAAAATCAATCGGGGAGAAAGATTCAGTAGTCATAAGTTATATTTAAAGCCCTAGGTGGCAGGTCTGTTTGATTTTGCAGTCAAGTCATGTATTTAAAAGGTGACAATTGAATTTTATTCTGAACATTAATAAGTTATAAGATTAATATATATGTGAGATCTAGTTAATATATGCAGTTATTGAAGCTAATGAATGGAACTAATGAAGAGGAATTTAGCACCATTTTCAGGAGTCTCTAGGAATTTCCAGCCAAGATGTCCAGCTGATTTGATGGATGACTGTGAAAGTGCATTACAAAGATATAAAGACAATGTCTTCTTAATTTAGATATTAAATGCTAAGCACCAAAATAAAGGGAGGCCAATAAAAACTGTGTTTTAAAATGTTATGCAAGTAATCATCAGTATTGTTCCCTTAGCATTCAAGCATGTCTCATTAACCTTCATAGAAATGAGACAGACAGGAAGAAGAAGTTCACATGTCGACTAGGTCACCTCATTGTTTCTTGTATGATCCCAAACAAGTTATTTGCCTTTACTGAGATTCTGTTTCCAAAAGTGCTGATTTGTGGTAGCAACACCTACCTCACGAATTCAGTCAGAATGTGGTATGTAAAACTTGGGTGCCAAATGTCTTGCCATTAAGAGATCATCCCTCCCCAGTTCTATTGGCTTCAATGACTATGAAGTTATGTGAAATGGTTCATAAATGTAATTTATTTCCCATTAAAAACCTGGAGAGGGGGGCTGGAGAGATGACTCAGTAGTTAAGAGCACTGACTGATCTTGCAAAGGACCTGGCTTCAGTTTCTACCACCCACATGGCAACTAATAATCATCTATAACTCCAGTTCCAGGGGATCCAACATCCTCTTCTGACCTCTACAGTCATTACACAACACAGATGTACTTACATACATACCGGCAACACAGTCATGCACATAAAATCAAGATAAATAAAATATTTATATATAAAAAGTTTAATTATATATTTTTTAAAAAGCTGGAGTGATGACTCAGCAGTTAAAAAGCACTGGCTGCTCTTGCACAGGACCCAAGTTTGGTTCCTAGCACCCACATGGAGGTTTATGATCTCCTGTAACTGCAGCTCCAAGGGATCCAACGCCATCTTCTGGCCTCTGCAAGCACTGCATGCATGTAGTGTACATACCTACATGCAGGCAAATATGTACATGTAAAATAAAAATAAATCATTGCTTAAAAGCACAGCAAGGGTACTAGAAAGATGGCTCAGCAGTTAAGAGCATATACTACTCTTGCAGATGAACTGGGTTTGATTCCTAGTACTTTACTCATATTGGGCAACTCATAATTACCTGTGATGCCAGCTTCAGGGGATCAAAGTTTCTATCATGGTCTCTGTGAGCACTTTCACTCATGTGCACACACCCCCCCCCACGAGGACACATACACAGACACACACACACACACACACAAAATTTTTTTATTTAATTAAAAAATAAGTAATACATTTATTTACTTAGGTTTTATATTTAATTCTTATTAAGTGCTTTCTTTGCTAAAATCAATCTCTAAGTGTATCACAAACTATCATTCATTTAACATAAATGTCTACCCAGTCAAAATCTCATAGAATTCTTTGTCATATAATTAAGGTAAAATGAGCAGTTTCACTGTAAATGGAATAGCAAGAAGTCGCAGGTGCCCCTGGAATGAACTAGGGAGACAACTGACTTAGATGTACTCATTATCAAATTTATTTAACAAATGTTTACCCTCTTGCTATACAATCACTCTTCTTCTCAATTGCAGTTGAGAAATTAGGCTAATTTAAAATTAGACTTACATAACTCTCCTGGGTAGTCTATGCATAAAAAGCTGAAGAGAGAGACGGGGAGAAAATTAAAGGTGTCAATCAAGAAAGAGATAGACAGCTTTAATGGGGGTAAAAGCTTAAAATGATCACCATTAAGATTAAGTGAGATAAAAAAGAGGAACGTCTGCAGAAATTAAACATGATAGCAACCAAAAACAATGGTAGACAAGGCAATGAGAATCAATGAGCAAATTCTGAAATAAAAACTCAAAGTCCTGAAGTAAAAATTTCAAAGTAATCTGGTATGGAAGTGGAAACACGGATTTTGAAAGGTAGTTAAAGGGATGTGTGTAGACCCAAAGTAGCACAAATCATAAAGTAAATGGCTTAGTGAGTTATTTTGGTTTTAAATATTGTATTATTGTTATTTTATGTGTTTGATTATATTGCTTGCATGTGTGTAAATGCCTATTGTGCAGCACCTGCAGAGGTCAGAAGAGGGCATGGGATTCCCTGGAACTGGCGTTACAGATGGTTGTCAGCTGTCATGAGGATGCAGGGAACTGAACCCAAGTCCACCCACCGCAAGAGCAACCAGTGCTCTTAACCACTGAGCCATCTCTTCAGGCCCAGTTATTTTGTTTTTGGAGTTAACTTTTTTAATTACTACACAAAGAAATTTTTAAAATATTTTATTTACTATTTTTATTTTATATGTATGTTAGTATTGCCTGAATGATTTAAGGGCACCCACATCGTACAGTGCCCATGGAGGTCAGAAGAGGGTGTCAGATTCCCTGGAACTGGAGTAACCTCTGAACCATCTCTCCAGCCCCATAAAGAAATGGTTTGTTCATGACATTTTCATACATGGATTTCACTGTACTTTGCTCATGTGCTCATATTGACCCTCCCCTTTACCTCACTCATCTAACTTCCCCTCCCTTTTGACTCCCTCCCACAAAGAGTCTAACTTCTGCTTTCCTGTCATGTATGCATAGTCTAGATTCTACAGATGAACTGCAGTGTAATATTTGTCCTTCTGAGACAGGATTATCACTCTTAACATGATTATCTCCAGTTTCTGAGTGATTTTGAAGCCTCAAATCCTTCATTCCTATCAAGAAATACAACTGGGGGGTGAGAGATGTCCCAGTGGTTGAGTGCACTTAGTGCTCTTCCAGAGGACCAGAGTTCAGTTCTCAGTACTCACTGGCAGTTCATAATGGCCTATAACTCCAACTCCAGGGGTATCCAAAGCCTCTGGCCTCCATGGATATGCACACTCACATGCACATAACATATACCCCCCACGCAGACACACACCTACACATGTTTTTTTTTTTTAAGTGTATTTGTTATTTTTCTGTTGCTGTGAAAAAACACTGTGACCAAGACAATTGATAGAGAGTTTATTAGGCAGCCTGAGCAGAAAGATGAGTGTTCATACCTTCAAAGCAGGGACAGGAAGCAGAGAACAAACTCAGAAGTGGGCAAGGCTAAAGCCCACCCCCACTGACATGATTCATGCCCCAAGAGGGACAAAGTATTCAAATACTTGGAGCCTATGGGGGACATTCATTCAAACTACTACTAAAAGAAACACAACTTAAAATGCTAACACTCTGAGTCTTCAGTTGTGCCATGTTTAATATACTGCCTGTTGTCTCTTGTCTTAGTTTCTTTGGCCTATTATAACAGAATATCTTTTTCTTTAATTCACTTTATTTTTGAGAATTTCATATATGAGTATGTATTTGTATTATTTCTATTGCTCCAAGTTTGCCTCCAACTCCTCCCATTATCCCCACCTCCCTCTTAATTTCTTGTCTTTGATTATTATTGCTGCATATACATACATTTATAAAAATATATGTGTATATATTCACATAATGCAGAGTCCATTTAGTGGTGCTCTTATCCACCTGTGTGTTTAGGATTAGCTAATCTTTGAGGGAGCTAGTCCCTGGAGAAAACTGATTCTTTCTCAGCATTCACTGATTGCCTGTAGCTCTTCATTTTGAGGTGAGACCCTGTGAAATTTACCCTATCCACCTTGGCATGTCAATTGGTTTTGTCATTATGCAGATCTTATATAACAAAGGTACCTTAATTATATAAGCCATGAGAGAGGCTGGAACGTGCCAAGCCAAGATGCTTGCAGGGCAAGTGTGTGCTGAGCACTTCTTGCTGCTTCAGTAGTGGCACCTTGTTACTACATTGTCAAAGGACAGAAGGCGT